AAGGTGGTGTATGTTTGACTAAGGCATAAAATGAATAAAATGTCCACAGACATTAAGTAGCTGTAGCCTGTAAGGACAAAATTATCAGATGCCAAGAGAAAATTAATATTCCTCTTAAAACTTTAGTGATCAGACAGAGTTTGGTAACGCAGTCTTTAGTGATGCCAACAGGCAAAATGTGACACAATATCGACTTCTGTCTTACATGTGATTGTTATGTCCTTAATTCAGATTACAGTAATTTGAAACTGTTGACCAGAGACTACAGGTCCCAGTCCACTCCATGTACGCAAAGACCTAATATAGCTTTGACCATTAGTTGTGTGGTGGTCAAAGAACAGTCAAGATAATCAGCGATATGCGGTTAAAAATAAAAAATATATACTGAAAAATAAATAAATACAATAAAAACTCTCCAAGGGCATGCTAACACTGAAAGTCAAACAAACTGCTACAGCAACTCATCAAAAGAAAAACCTCTTGCAGCTAATCGCATGTGTACAGACTGCCTTTGACACACAGAACAATGTTGTGACTAATGCTGATTAACTGAGAACACATATCTTCCGCCCCACCAGGCTTTTTAGTTCTCCACAGCAGCAAGTGTCAAACTACATAGTTTATATTCATGTTCTTTTGTTTCTAAACAGCTTTTTTCTTCCTCACATGTAGGCGTTTCAGTGTAGTGCTTTTGAAGCCCTATGAAAATCGTCATTAATAGCACCGTGAGGAGGTGTTACCCTTTTCCTCTCGCTCTTAGCATTTGGATGAAAAACTGCTCATATCCCACGCAGCTGCGTGCTTGCCTGGACTAGCCCAGTGGAACTCGCTGTTACTCATCCATCCAGAAAAATGACACAACTACCAGATCACAAACTGTCAAAGGAAGAAAGCCTGTTTAAACATTCATCCTTTGGATTGGAGCAACATCACTGACTGACTAACCAGTAATTCTACAGCCACACTTGGGGACACAGATAGTTTGGATGTAAGATGTAGCCCATCACACCCAGCAATTTAAGACTGGAGTCTGTGTATTAGTGGTATGACATGAAGACGAATCAAAGCATCTGCGGATCAAAGTATGAGATGACACAAATTAAAGTTAAGCAGGAAAAAGGTTTGTTTGTTTTTTGAGTGGCCACACCTGTTTACAAGCTATTATATTCAGAGATTACAACCTGTGGGGCCTTAAAGCAGGACAGGAATGCCAAGCTGTATTCATTTTCACCATATCCACAACTCCCTGAGTCCTACTAAGGGATTGCATGTCTCTTTCCTCTGCTACAAATATACACCAGAAGCAGTATCGTGTTTCAGTTCCGTCTCCTTTCACAATATACAGTCCATAAATCTTAAACAAACTGCATTTCTGCAGAGGTGGTGAGGCTCCCTGGCTCTCATTAGAGATTTCTTACAGTCAATAAATCACCAGCCTGGATATTTTTCATACTTTGTGACGATGAACAAAGCTCTGCTTCAGCCTGTCATCCCCAGGTGTTTTCCAGCTATAAAGCAGCCGCACATAGAGAAACAATGGAAGGGGTAAAGGAGGAGGATTTTGAAATACTCTTTTTTTCCCCTTAAACCACCTTGGTTAAATATGAATGATTTCCTGGTTTAGAATTTGAAGTATAACATTATAAAACGTGTGGGTGAGAAATTCGGGCCAGGTCTGGTTTAAATGTCAAAGCTGTGAGCTAAATGATGAACAGACTTTGGCCCTGTGTGAACTTGACACCAACTGGACGCTTGGCCTCGGTTTGAAAAGGCTGCTGAGGTCAAAAATCACCCAGCTTATAGATCCGGAGGTAACATATATTTATGTTTTAAAAAGACGAATTCGTGCTGTTCACTTTAAAGGTACATTTAACGTAAATACATAATAATAATAATACTAATAATAATTATAATAATAATAATTATAATAATAATAATTATAATAATAATAATAATAATTAACACAGACAAAAAACTGAGGATATAACATTAAGAGTAATATTTTTATTTTATGTGTAAACTCTATGGGGTAGAACTCAAACAGTCCACATGAACACAACGTTACCCAGGGCTGTCGTTTTCAAAAATATCTTAAAGTTTTAGCCTTCTCGGTTATTTTACATATTAAAGATAATTAATATGTATTTTTCCACTAATACGTCAACTGGAACATGTTTGAATTAAAAAACATTTAAGAAAAGCCACTTACTTTTCCACTGATTGACCCAGTTGCCAGCCCGACGAGGAACAACCACCACAGATTCCCCATTTTAACTTCCAAAACAATTTAAAAAAAACACGCTAGTTGAAAACGAGAAATTATATGTTGGTACAGTGAAAACGTTCAACTCGCTCTTCGGTGTTCAGTAGTACGGATAATTTGTTGTAGCGCTGTCGCTGTCGCTGTCGAGCCACTTCGTTAAATCTCAGTAAAGTTCCCGTGTCTCCCGGACTCGTTGTGAGAAGGACTTCGTCTGAAAAAGTTGTTTAGCCTGGTCGTGAAGCGTGGCTCTCTGCGGTGACGTCAGCACGCCGGTCCTTGACGACGGTAGTGGAGACGCACACGCGAGCCGGAACCGTTGACAAGGTGACGACATTAGCTCAACTGCCTTACACCGAGGTTAATTAATAATAGGCTGAACGAACGGCTTTTTCTTATTTACATTTTTAGTGTGGATATACGCTTCTAAAATCCAGCAATTCATTTTGCCCTTTTTTGGAGGACTTGAGTTTGAGGCAAAGGCCATTTATCTCTATGTAATTCACATGAATCCTACTGTTCTATTGATGCCATATTTGCGGAGGCTGGGCAAACATTTCTTTTCAAAATGGACTCCCCTCCCTTGTGGCTATAAAATATGGTGATAAGCTTTTGTTTTGTTTTTTTTGTAGCTATTATGATTCTATTGCTAAAAAAAAAAAGAGGTTTTTAACTTTTACTCCTTCCAAAACAAAATTTTAATGCCACACATTTTCAGCCTATTTCAGGAGACAGAAGACAGGGTGAGGCCGAAAGGATTTTACTCAAAATTGTGGTTTGATTAGAGCTGTCATGAAATGAAGTGGAGGGAGGTCAGACAGGAAGGTAAAAGCTCAAAGGGGGACATAACAGCAGGTTTGTTATCAGAAGTATTGCTTAATGTTTAAACAAATCAAACACAAACAGAAAAAAGTTTGATTCCTTCTTTTCTCTGCTGATTTATATAATTAATGATGTATATGCTAAAGGTGCATTAACCTGTACCTCTCCTGTCTCATTAGAATGAAAAATGAAAACAGGACATCGCTGCTAACAACCATGACAGGCCCTATGATTACACCAAAGTGTAAATAGGTAACCAGGTTTCTGAAAAACATGTCAGAGCACACAAACCAGAGGGACGTGCTCATCTGAAAACATCCGTTTCACGGCATGACTCAGATATCCTAGGACCTGAACTTGCTGGTTCCTTGTTACAGTCAGTTCAGTAAGTCAAGGCACATTTTTCAGATATTAGGGAGTCCATCAAAGTAACGGATTATCTTAATATCTCCGTTAAAGGGGAAAGAATGAAGCTCTCTGGAAGGTGAGACCACTGTTAAACAGAATGCAACAGGGCTGCCAAAAGATTATTGCCCTCACAGGCCAGTGTTTTAAATGGCAGCCGAGAAACCAAATGCCACAACTTCAGAGCCCTAGCTTTAACAACATTTCTATATTTGTCCCTGCTCGGACTCCTCTAAGCTTTCACCTTCTTGCTCTAAACTCTGGCCCTCTTCCACCTCACCTCCTGACAGCAGTATGAGTAAAATCCCATCTGCCACACCCAGCGCTCTGTCACACCATCCATGATCACTGTTACTGCCATGGGGAGCATGACCCAACAACCCATGTTTAGGTGAGTATTAGGAGTGCAGAATGGAGTTTAATAAAAAAAGAAAAAAAAGGAAACAATATCATTTCATCATACTAAGATAAAAAATAAATAATTTTCCAAAAAAACCCTTCTAAACATTTATTTCAACTACTATACTTAAATTATCTAAAAACAAACCAACCAACCAACTATGACACATTTATTCTTCTGGGTCTCAGGAGATTAGGAGCAATCATCACAGTATGGATTGATTTGAGACTAAACCATCTTTTGTGTGTTGGAATATACACACATAAATTTTACAACAAAAATACGTTTCCCTTTGAGACATCGGAGAAATTAGCACATAGATCAGACGGAATAATTTCCAAAAACATAGATTTCAATAAAAACTTTATGATTCCATTGATTTTTATTGAAGGGCAAGCTTGCTTTAGCTGTGTGGTTCATGACTCCCTCTGGTGGAGAAAGGCTGTAATGACAACCAAGCAGTTTAAATGGCCGTTACTGTCAAATGCTTTACTCCCTTTCAAACCAACTCATATTTACAAAACATGAAGCCTAGTGTAGTTTCCAAACCTTGAAACCACTTAGGCAGTGAGAAGGATATTTTGACTCCATGTGAGGTACCTCAATTAATATTAATAATGAAAAACATTATCCAGCCATAACAGTTCTTAATTTGACACAGCAAACCAAGGATATTAGTCTTATAGCCTAACAGTCCACATTAATAAAACATCTTCCCGAGTATTGCTCATCAGAAATCTGAAAAATCTGTCATTACATGCGCTCAGCTTTAAAGAAACTGATGTTTCCTATTTTGTTATTTATATCCATTTGTGTGAATTTTTTGTTTCACTGAGACATTTTTGCAGGTCAATGTCACAAAAGAAAAGTGGATCCACGTAATTCAATGTTCCCTGAAAATAATATATTTCAGAACAGAAAATAGAGTTAAAACACGCAGTAGTCAAGCTGACACACTCAACCGAAAAGAAATAAATCATGTAATAAATAAAAGCATTATCTTATGGGTGAACTCATAAGCTGTCATTATAACCTCCCCAATTCGTTAATAACCTGAAAACTCATCTGATTTAATTGGCGACCCTATGTGGGTATCCTGACCTTTGGCCTGGGAACCACTAATGCAAGACCTAATCTATGGCTTCAATTGACATCATGCAGATACACCAAACCTTTCATCAACCAATTTTTTTATAATACTTGATTAAGTTCATAAATGATAAAGCTTCCCTTTGGTAAAAGCTGCTAACATCTTTAAAGTCACACTAAACTCTGCATTTATAAGAAAAACAATGACATTTTTGAGCAAGTGCCTGTCGCTCATGTTGACACAAACACCATGCCACAAAGCTGCACAGTGTACTTCCTCTGGTTTAATAAAGGCAGAACATACAGAGTACAGAGGGACAGAGTCACAGGTTTACTGCTTTCACAGTGATATAACATTTTTTTTTCTTTGTTCTTCACCAGTGAAATGAAAGAAAGCACAACTCCACAATGAGATGATTATATGACCTGGCTTTTTTTAAATTTTTTTATTTTTTTTAATCCACATATATGGAGATGTGAAGTATTTCCCCACCACTTCCTCGAGGTGTGGGGTGGCGGTTCCTGCTTCAAAGAGTGCAGCAGAGCAAACAGGTGAAGACGTCACTGGACCCGGCAACAACGCTGTGCTCATTACTGTAAGTGCAAAGAAACCTGCTAATAGCAGTGAAGCTAGTCCTGACCAGAGCACTAGCAGCTGCTGATTATGTTACAGTTGCACCCACAGCAAGCACAGGACGGGCTTTGTCCTGCTGTTCCTGGTTCTGCAACACTAAGAAAACTCAAAGTTTTATCTGCACTGGACGTTGAAAGGAAAGAAGACAAAAAGATAAAAAGCAGAAATGAAAAATGACCATCAAATGAAGGGAAACAGTGACACGCACACACTGGAGCAGAGTTTCTTCTGACATCCCAAACCAGAAGCAGATCTTCATGCAAGATGGATATCGTCCACACCTCAAAATTCGCTACAATTTTTTCCCTAAAATAATAATAAAAATCATATTCACATCATATAACTTCATATGTGTTACGTGGTTGTCCATGCCATACCAGTGGGGCCCGCCCCACAGTTTGAGAACCACTGCACTATAGTCTCCAGAGATGTGAGCGTAATCTCAACCTCTGCTGTGGCCATGGGACAGTAAAACAATGAGGTGTGTTAAAAATAAAAATTCTAGCAGAAGTCTTTGCATCAAGTTAAAGAGGACCAAGAGCGCTGCGAGACAACCATCATCTGCGAGGTAGAACTTCATCTGACCCCAGCCTTGATGTCTGACGGTCTCATATTCCTCTTCCAAATTGGAGGGATCTGCATCACAGAGAGAAGAAATTATTTTTACGGATGCATTTCTCTGGATCAGTCCAGGGAAAGGTGTGCATAGTGTTACGCAGACTGGACTTTATAGGAACACATAACAAGGCACAGTGTCTGTATGTGTTTGCATTACTCGTGGGGGTACTGAAGTCTCTAGATGCCGTCCCAAAAATGATAAAAGTCGCCTCCATATCAGCCCACTGCCCAAGAACATGAAACCTGTTACCAGCCAGAAAGCACGGGGGTCCTGTAGGAGAGACACACAGGCAGAGCAGTGCATAAATATCTGTTCATAAACACTAAGCACTAGTTACAACTATTAAAAGTATTGATCAGAAGTTGTCTCACATCTTCGAAAGCTGTTGTCAGATTCATTCCAAATGCCACACCTATTAGGCCAAATAAGGAAAGGGAGAAGGACCCCATGGTCAGCTGCAGATTCAGTCGCATCATCACGTTTCGGTGGCTGGAATAAAGCACACAGTGCTCTCAGTGGCTGCAGGAAATCATACAAAACAAGAAAACGCCTGATCTGGCAGAGAGGTGTGGGATGCCAGATCAGGCGCCCCCCTTCCGGCTCTCTTCTCTTTTGTCTTACTTCTCGCTATCACCTTTTCTATCCCTTTGAAGAAGTGAGGCTCTTTAAATATTAAAGAGGTAAGTATTACTTTTGTTTTGCAGTGAATTGATAGAAGAAAATAATTTAGAAAACTAAACAAAAGAAAGTAGAAATAACAACAAAACAAATCATTGACACACTCCTGATCAACCCTCGCAGGCCCTCCTTGGATGAGAGTGTCTAGTGATAATGGCTGAAACACCCAATGAATCCAAGGTCCACCACTGATGATGGGTCCCAAGTTATATATTTCTGTAATTCAGACACACTGTTGAAATAGCACTTCAGTTTTGTCTCATGTTATTTATTTTGTAAAAATGTGTACTGAAACTTCTGTACTGTGGCAGAAAAGGTAGTTTTGCTGGTTTTCCTTATGAGAACAAAAGTGGGTTGCATGTTGCCCTCGATATAAAATGAGTCTCACATTCCTAACCTAGACGATATCTGACATCTGGGGGGGAAAAAAATGCTAATTAGTAACAAAACTGGGTATATATTAGAGAAAAAGAGAAAAAAAAAGGCATCCCACAGATGGCAAGTGTCTCTGAAATAACTTCTATTTTGAAATAATGGATGCCATCAGCTTATTATCAGCAGGTGTGTGTGTGTGTGTAACTGCACATGGCAGGAGTAACGAGCACGTTTGTGAAGGCGCCACTGTTGCTGAATCACATTTACAGTCCTGTGAAAGAAGAACATTCTGACAGGAGACTATCCAGTCGTGCGCCCAAAACTCTCCTTTCACATCACTGTACTTATTTTGGAGCAACATTTACTGCAATTCAGATAAAAATCTTTTAAATACGACTTTGCCTTCTTCAGGATGACAATACCAAACCGCAATCTGGACGTGTTAGAACATCCCCCTAGCTCACAAAATTCCACACGAGTACAAAGATGCATCAATTTTTAGTAAATGTAATTTTTCTTGTTCAGATGGCAAAGCATTTTTTTTGGGGGGGGGGGACTGAATTAGATTAAATTCAATCTTCAAAAATAATGGCTTGTTAAGCCTCATTATCAGTGTTTTGAGTTTGTTGCTTCTCAAAAATATCAGTCTATAGTGTGCATGTATACATAATGTATAGCCAATTTGTACGTACCTGTCCAGATTGATAAAGATTACACTCTCAGAGTCGTCTATCAGACCCTTCAGCTCTCTGGCTCTGTTCCCCAGTTCCTCGGTCTGTGTGAAGTATTTCACGGTCAATATGACAACATTCATACAACCTACACCTTACTGACAGCCCATCACAACTGCCGCAGGTAACATGTAAAGTGTTTCAGTGCTTCGGATATTAAACTAAAATAGAGGCAAAGAAATAGGTAATCAGCATAGCAGAAGCATAAATGGGTATAAATGCTTAGATGAAAATAAAAACATACGAAGTGGTCGTGGCTTGATGAAAATCTATGACAAATGTGTCCTATTCAATGTGTGAGCATGCAGCCTTTACCAAGACTTTTGCATAATTGCAATATTTGTTGATCATGTTAAAACTTGGGAATTTAAAGTACAGCTACCTGCATATAATAATTCTCCAATAAAAGCTCCATCTCCTCAGCGTGGTCAATACCCAAACTGCTCTCTTCACTAAAAAGGCAGACAGACATGAGGTTATATACAAAATAGAAGCACACAAGTTGAAGAGAATGGATAGATGATGAAAAATAGAAGTACAGCTGGGCCTGGCGGTTTGGGCAGAATTAATTTAATTTGAAAAAACAAAACAAAAACCCACATACACAGAAAAAGGTTAACCTGTAACATATGATCTGCAGGTGAATGAAAACAGACTGGAAACAGAATTTGATCCTTGGGAACTGAACAAATTCGTGTCTTTCTTTTTCAACATGCTTCACCACTGACTGGAGATTTCCAACTATTTTTAAGATACTGTGTTCAGCACCCATATACATATGTCTGAGTGCATGTGTGACATACAAAACTCTTGGGTCTGTCCATTTTGTGAGACAGAACTCTTCAACCGTCTCATCCTCATCCAAGACCTTCAGCATGGAGTCCATAAACATTTTTATGTCCGTCTCCAACTCTGATAAGCTGTAACAGGCGTGAGAGAAGGGAAAACTTACAAGACTGTAAATCTTTAGGCTGAAAACTTCCATTTACATATATGCCAGATGCCATTAATGACTTATTCAAATACAATTACATGTCTTGAGTGATTCATTACCTCTTGCTATTTTGCAGAAGTACATGTAGTTTACTTCTATCAGCAGAAAGGATTTTAGGGTCTACGAGGGATTCCAGCGCATCCAATATGACTGGTTCAACTTCATTCAACCGGGCTTGCAGCGTGTTTACCTGTTGACACAGATAATACAAAGCTTCAGGTGTGTGTCCTTGACTTTCATTCAGGCTTTATCTAGGTTAGACCACGCTTAATTACACAAGCACTCTGTCTGGTCTGATCGGTTTCACCTTGTGCTGCAGGATGGCTTCCAGTGCTCTGAACTCGAAGGGCAGAGTGTGTGTCTGTGACGCTAGCTGGGGGGCGAGCTCTAGAACTAACCAGCGCTCCAGTCCAAGACCACGAAAATCCAAGACCATAAGAGACTCTGGGGTCAAGATGGCTTTCAAGGCCTGAAAAGACAGCGATATTATTAATATTATTAGTATTACACACAGAGGATGCTTCAGAGTGTGTGTGGAACTGGGAATTTTGTCAAGGTGGAAGGAATTATGAATAAGCAAAAACAGAAAACCTCAAGCAGTCACCAGTAAACCTGGGTCTTCCAGTAAAACATATGTTCTCCTGGTGAAGAACAACCTCCAGAAGACTAAAGTGAACGTTACTGACTGGCTTGTAAAAAGCTCGGACTTGAACGCTAACGAAAATCTGTGGGGTGAACTGAAGACAAGGGTCCATAGCAGAAGATCATTAAATCTGCAGGAGCTTAAGAGATTCTCTAAGGAAAAAAAATGGGCTGTGAGACTTACACACAGGACACAACTGACTATTAGCATCAGTGAGACTAGTAATTTGAATCCTGGTTTATGTCAATAGTTTTATTTCTTTGTGCAAATTAAAATAATGTAAGCAACCAAAATGAAACTAGGACGTTTCCCATGTGCTGTGTTGCAATTTCCTTGCTTTGTTTAACAGCCCTTGGGAAATGCTGAAAAATAATAATAAAATTTCCACAGGGGGGCAAAAAAAGTCTGTCCTCATCCACATACTCTGATCCAAAGAGTGAATGTTTAAAAGATGCTTTTTTGTTAAAGACTCCATGACTGAATTTCCTCTAAAGGCTTTGGAGACATGACATGTCGCCCGGTTAACGTTTTACTGTTAACATGTCAGTGCTCGGTTTGACTCTGAACTGTAAATATTTGTGGTTAGAGATTTGAAACTTGAGCACCAATCAGGATCTAGTTGTGCCTCCCTGGTCCTGAGTCCCACTTAGATACCGCCAACATACAACTGTGAATGGTCAGCGTGTCACAGCCTGCAGAGACCTCACGACGACATAACAGAGCTGAAAACTTTTAGTTCTTCAGGTAATGAAGCATTCTGTGTGTGTACATTTGTTTATGTAGCACATAACTACAAGCTTGCATTGCAGTAACTGCAGTCTCAGTCACTTGCTGATCACAGTCCTTGCTTATGTTTGCTTTACACTTTATTTCCTCTAATTTTAGACTGAAACATATTTTCTGTGGTTTCTACCCTTGTGCAGTCAGGACTAACGATGGCTGTGAAGCTGTCCCATCTCTTCTTGCTGCTGGTTATGCCGAGTCTCAGCTTGACCAGTGGACATAAATGCTCCACATCTGACTCCAGCTGCAATCAGTGCATCCAATCTGGCCCTGAGTGCGCTTGGTGCACTGCCCCCAACTCTAACATTCACTGTCATACTGTGAAGGGGCTGCAGAGAGCTGGCTGTCATAAAGGTCATATATATAAACCTCAAAGCAGTGTGCAGGTCATCAGGAATGACAGCAGGTATGCTGTTTTAAATACCTCTTTAGTCATTAAAGGACACGTGACAATTTTTCAGTGTTCCATACAAAAAAAAAGTAAAAAGAAATTAACCTTCCAAAGTTTTGTTTTGTTTTTTTTTTAAATATGAAAGCTTCAGATTGGATTCAAATATATTTTGGAACAGAAAAGGGCCTTTGTTATGATGTTAAAAAAAAAAAAAAATCTTACAATGTTATTTCTTGTGACTTCTGAACTTCTGCAGAACAGACATAGCAGATGCCAAAACCATCTTCCTGCAGCCCCAGGACCTCGCCATCCATTTGAGGCCAGGTGTGAGCCAGTCCTTTCCTCTGTCAATCTCTATGCCAAATGATCATCCTACCACAGACCTGACTCTAGACACCAGCAACGTGCCAGCTGGTCTCAACATCACATTCAGTAGCATAACTACAGGAAACCCCTTACTCGTGCAGGTCAGAAAAAGAAATACTGTCCAACACAATCTCTTGCAGAAAGAAAGTGTTCCTTCTTGTTTGTCCCCCAAAATCAAATTATTTGAACAACAGTTCCTCTGGCACTGCAGGTAACTGTGGAAGCTGCACAATGTCCCAGTGAGAGTGACATCTCAAACCAGAACAGCACTGGACCCTGGTCTGTCCAGATCACACCCAGAGGCTTTGCAAAGAGTGTGACGTTGGAGGTAACTTTGCAGTGTAAGTCTGCAGCAACTTGCTACGAGAAACATTTGAGTCTGAAAACCTAAAGCAAGTCTTCATGAGACTGTTAGAAAATTGAGAGTTCAATAATTCAGCTCATTTTTCTTCAGTGTGATAATCTAAAAAAAATCTATTTGCTTCACCAGGTCAGTGTAGTTGCACTGAAAACAGAGAGGAAAACAGTCCCACCTGCAGCAGCCACGGGGCGCTCGTGTGTGGGCGTTGTGTGTGCTATCAGCCTTATGTTGGAAACCTTTGTCAGATTGACATAACTTCCTTTGAGTCAGAAAATGAAGACTCCTGTCGCTTACGCCCTGGCGCCCCGGTGTGCAGCGGCCGGGGTGTGTGTGTGTCGGGCATGTGTCACTGCAACCAGCGGGAAAATCCAGAAAAGATACGCGGACAATTCTGTGAGTGCACAAACTTTGACTGTCCATACCACGAGAACAGGTAAAAACAAAAAGTTGCCACGAGTTTGTATATAAAATATATCGATATAAAGTTATCACACAGCTTCACAGTTAAAATACTACATTTTTAATCTGACAGAATATGCGGAGGCAATGGGATATGCGAGTGTGGAATGTGCCGCTGTTATGCGAACTGGACAGGTAGTGAGTGCAGCTGCAGCACGGAAACTGCTTCCTGTGTGGCAAAAAACCAGCAGCTGTGCAACGGTAGGGGGAACTGCATCTGTGGAAAGTGCCAGTGTTTGCCACAGTACCAAGGGCCGACCTGTGAGGACTGCCCTGTTTGTGTAGCACATTAGAGATGGGAGCAAAGATGAACACGTGAGACTGGATATTTATTTACTTCTTATACCGTACGATGTTTTGCAGACACTATCATTACTACAAGAAAATGAAGATATAGAAACACACCATCATCTGAACACTTTATAGACAAGAGAAGCAAGACTGCTTTAACACCGTATCCTCTATTTGTCTTCCACAAACTCTTCACAAAGCCAACATTGTGAAACTTTAACTTTAGTTAAAACTGTTTGATAGACTTTCTGTATCACTGCTGGTTATGATGAATGAGCAGAGTGTGCATCTCCTCTGAGTATAGTTCTTGAACTGACTGTGCCTTCTCATTCGTCATCAGGTGTGACAGAAAGTGTGGCTACCTCATCGTGACAACGGTGGAGATAAAATACGATGTGCTGAGAGAACAGAATTCATTCATTCTGTAAAATGATGAACCATGATGGTTCCAGAGGATGATAGATTGTAGGTCGGACTAACATATATATGATAACAAGATTTTTACTTTTCAAAAACATGATAAAGATCATCTTATTTTGATTGAAAGCAACATCTGAAAAATTAAACTCCAGTTTTTCGGCTCAGGTGCGGCTCATGCTACGCCTCCTGTGGTGTAAGTGGAGCGTGGCAGACAAAGGAAAAAGAAATAAAACATACCGCCATTCGTAAAATAATGCAGTTATTTCTAGCAGTGAGGCTGGTAGTGTGTTGGAAGCGTAGGTCTCTGGCTTGAAGACTTAACTCCTGGCAAAGCTCCGTCTTCTTTTTTTCTTGAAGAGAAAAACAAATAAGGAGGAGCAGAGGCACACATGTACATATAGTTGGGCCAATCTCTACACATGAAGTAGGGGTTGAAATACAACTGATTTTTACTCATGGATAACAGAAGTGAGTCACTGGTGGTAACACAACCCATTAGTGGCTGCTGCACAGGGGAAGTAACACAGAAACACAGCAGTGATGGACAAAAATGTGGTGCATGTCCAGTTCTACACATAATAAAAAGGATACGGAAGAGTACTTCAGGGACATGTTAAAAAAAAAAGAAAGAAGAAAAGATCCCTATGCTCTGTCACAATGCCAGAGATAAGAGACAATCATCAGTCTCAGTGCCAACGACCGCAACAACATGTAAACATTAATGAGGTTAAATTTCCTCACACTTACCAAATGACGTCACATTTCCCTCTTGGTCAAACTTCATCTGTCAAAGAAAGAAAACATGAAGCTGATTGGTTACATCAAGCAACCACATCTTCACTGCATTTTTGCACAGCGTTGAAACACAATTGTGTGAAATGTAAATAATAACAATAAATTACTTGAGCATTCCAAATGCTATGCTTATTTGTTTTTTTAAATATCTATCCATCTCCACACACACGGCTGATCAAATGACAAGTTTGTTTGTTACTGTTGGGTTTTTTTGTTTTTTGTAACAAAACCTTATTTTTGATGCCAGCACCAAAATAATAAACAAATAAATAAATAATGGTGTAAGCTGATGACAGGTCAGTAACCTCCTCCCCATCTTTGCTAAGGTAAAGATGGGGAGGATGTATGTTAAATTATAAATGTGTGAATGAAATCTACAGGTTTAGTAAACAAAATAATAAGATATTGTTTATTGCAGCAAGACAAAGTGACAAACCACATCCCAAAACCTTTCAAGTAGTATTAGCAACTATTAATTAATGACTGCTTAAATTAATTTCTCTCTTACCACTACAAATGCCGGAGCTACAGTGGAAGGAGGGGCGTCTGAGACTCTTCTGCAGATAAAGGACACTGTTCAAAGAAAAGACCAAGTTAAACCATGTGTGCAGGAAAGTATTTGACATGTAACGTTGAGCAGTACCTTGGATATAGCATGACTACAGCAGAAAGACAATAGCTTGGTTCTCACCTGTATGTACAGAGCTTTGGGTCGGGATAATAAAGTTTAGAATTACAAACCTTGGCACACAATTCTTCATTATTCTAACTTAAAATGCAGTCAAGTGGAAAAGAAAATTTTAAAGGGACACTATGTATTCCTGTGAAAAACTCACTACATCCCATGATGGGCAGCAACAGTTGCTTCTCTAAGATCAGTGCTAATGTGTTTTCTTCTTGGCACCGTGTTAATATGCATCTAAATGCTCCAAACCAGCAAACTACCAAAACGTCTGCTTTTATAGGGATGCTCACGCTTGCTGATGATTAGCTAATCAAATACATTTGATTAGCAGCAGCTGGCTGCTCATTACCCTCCTAACTCATATGAAAGCAGTAAAGGTGTAATTAGTCTTTCTTTTTTACATGTTGTGATACATAAAACCTTAGAACTGAAAGAGACTATTTTTACCATGACTGTAAAGACAACTATAGGTCACGTGGAATACTTGTATACTGTGGTCAGTATGAGCCAAATTAACTACATCATCTTACCAGGCCACACTGCTCCTCTCTGCAGCAGGTTTCTCCCAGTTCTCACTGCAGCACACTGAGGTCTTCTGGTCTGACATGTGGATAAAGGCAGTGCTTGACTGACCAGTGAATTCAAGCAGACATCACTGTAGTTCCTGCTGAATGATCCCAGTCTTACATTTCCCTGTGGCACAGAGTGTCCCGTTGGACAGAACTCTGCAGCTCTGCTATAATAGCTGAGGGTTCTTGTCCCACCAAGTCGTGAGGAAAAAGGACCAAGAGAGTTTAAAAACCACTTTGGATGAAAGTTCGCACAGCCGGCCAGCAGCAACTTGTGCATTTTGATCTCCACACCAACGCAACACAAAGCCTTTACGCAGACCGCCATACTGGCGCTGGAGAGCTGATGTTCACCACAGGTAAGGGATTATACCAGGCACAGCAGCAGGGAAGGGAGGTGGAGGATATTAAGACATGCTTTAACTTCCATAAGCAAAGAAAGCTGCAAGCACCAAGTGTTTACAATCCTCTCATTAGTGGTCCCTCGGTGCCCTCCAGATGTTTGCCAAGCTATGTGTTAGACGAGACAGTCCTGACCCACAGGTACAACAAGAGTGAAAACTCCCGTTACATACGTTACAGTAACTTCACAGTACACATAAGTATCTCTCACGCGCACATTGCCTCGCTTTCACCTGCTTTTATAACTTTCTTCAACTTTGTCTCGCGGCTGTTTGTTATGCTAACTATCTTAGCTGCTGCAGTATAACAAACATGCTTCACTCACAACAGCCGACAAGTTTTAACGTGACAGTAAACGCAGACACGAGTATCACAGACAGGTCACCTGCCGATGCCTGTAAAGTGTCCCGAGTCTACATGTGCGGCTGTGTTTCAACCTGAAAACACAGCTCCCCGGCTTAACGTGATGACAGGAGGACAGAAGAGCACGGGCTCTCTGGACCATAATGCACCGCGGCGGCAGCGCAGAGCGCCGAAGATCGTCCATGATTGAGGTGATCACTCCGACTGAGAACCTTTCCATCAAACACACCCGTGGCTGTAGAAAAAGGTCACTAAAACACACAAAGAGGATTAATAAATACTGAGGCCATGAGCGATCCTTTTGCATTACATATAAAAGCCAGTATCCGCCAGGGAGAGACAAGTATGGGAAGTAAATAAAGGAACTAAATGTATGGAAGCTTGTTTCTGGAGAAGAATTCAATAAAATACATAAAATAACAGGTCGACTTACTCTGTAAGTTTGTTTTGCGAAACAAACTATGGTACGTCAAAATGCTGAAATTAGTTAAATACTAATATATTGTATTTTTAATAAATGATTAAATTTAATAAATTCTAATTATAATAAACTAGTCAAAGGCCGCCACAAAACGATTTAAAGTTTATTTGTTGTTTTTTTTTTATTTGACCGTTGTCTTATTTGAAGTATCACATTAATACTTCTGTTTCATGTATTGCCAGCTGTAACAAAGGATTTCATGAACTTAGCTATACATTTAATTGTTTCCTAACTGTGGACTTCTCTGTTTTCATTTAAAGTGTACCACTAACATGTTAATTAGCTAGGTGAAAATGAGCTTTCGTATTTCCACCCTAATATTATTATTTCTGTTTCCTTTGGAGAAATTGTTTCCATGTAATCTCCCGGCATAAATGGCGCTTCGGTCCTCTAACGCAGTGAATAAAACTCTGACTGTAAAAGCAGAAGAAAACACATTTTCTCGCTCTGCAGTGATTCTGCTTTTCGTGCATGTCTATAATAATGTTTTAATTAATTATTTTTCTCCTTGTGGGCTCAGTGGTAAAAGCGGTGTGGGCGCAGCCGCGGAGGTTTTTGTCAGCATCAGCATCTTCTGCTGGATGCGGATAACCGGAAGATGGTGAATCAGAGAGGAAGCGTGGGGATTGTATTGTTACAGTTACAATCCCGAATCAGACCGCGTCCATTTTTTAAAAAATAATTTCTTTAAATGTTCAGTATTTTGCGGGTGAAACTCTGAGTCGCTTGGCTGCCATGTTCCCGTCTTGTTACTCCAAACCTGCGGACAGCGGCAGTAAGAGGAGCTCCATCGCTAAGCTGCTGCTCGGGGTGTTTGTGGTTTACATGCTCCACACAGCCTGGCTGTTGTACGGTTTCCTAAACACCAAATCCTGCGATGGAGGCAGAGGAGAGCACTGCATCACCTCCTATCTGGCAGCCAGACCCAGACTACAGGTTAGAGCTTGTCTTATTCCTGATGGCAAATCTCTGAGATCCAGATCCATAGGTTTGAAAAAAAATCTGTCCATGTGCTGCTCAGCAAGAAGCCCTTATTGCTAAAGTGTACTGTCTACATGGTAGTTAGAGAAAAATATGATAAATTGTCATTTGGCATTTAGGTTTGTGTCGTTTTTGTGCACATCTACTTTAAAACTATGGCATTTTCATGCATTCTCTTCATGAAAATATTGATAGATCGTTTTGTTTGCAGGTGTTTACTTTGTGAAATCTGTAAAACAGACACACATTTGAAGCACAGTCAGGATTATCTCATCGCTTTCATTTTGAAAGGAATCTCAAACTAAGATGGAAACCTTGTTTTAACATCTCGTCTTCTCCTTCATTCAGATGAGTGTTTTTACCTGTCTCGTGCCAGACAACAGCCCCCTCGAGCTCGCTGTAAAAATAGACCCGTTCGACCCTCACTCGAGATTTGAGAGGTGGGTTTGACATGTTGATAGCTGCACAGGAGCAGACCAACAATCTGAAAAATTATTTGTTTATTTTTTAACATAATGGTAGCAGCATCGCAGTTATTGCAACATAAATCTTTAGTCATATAAATATATAGTCATCAAAAGACTTTACCGACCACTGATCACAGTGACAGTCACAGTATGCTGCAAGTACTCAGTAATGATTAGCATATTTGATTGTTTATGAAGGCCTAAAACACGCAGTTTCTATTTTTTATGCCTATCTCTCTCTCCACAGAAAGGTGCATGTCTCTCTGCCAGGAGAGACTCGGGCTAATGGCACCCTCTTTGCAGTTGTTTATGTGCACAAGGCTGGCGTTTCACCTTTGGAGGACAGCAGAGAGGTCCACTATGCAGTCCAACTCACCACCTACATCACCCCCTCACGCACCGACGTCCAGAAAGACAAGGAGAAGGTACATCATCACTCAGGACTGCTTCATATTTCACCCAGCATGTTGCCTTTACATATATTTGATATAATGGGGCCTTTTTATGGGGCCCAGCTGCCTTGCACAGTGCATTATTTATTTATTTTTTTGGTTCCACCCAGAAGCCGAGATCTGAGAACCCTGTCTCCCACTGGAGACCCCACCTGTCACTCACTGTCATGTCAGAGGACTTCACCTTCACAAAGGCTGGGCTTCCCAGTGACGTGCGCCGCTACATGAGAGTGTAAGTCAGATGAAGCTTTGGAGGTCAAAGCCAGGTGAGCTGTCAGCGTACTGCTGACTTCTGCTGTTTTGCTGCTGCAGTGGCACCGAAAGGCTGAGAGGAACAGATACTTCTGACAGAAAATCAAACACACTGGTGTTTTGTTGCAGGTGCTGTGTTATTATTCAAAGGGCGCAATATATATTGAAAAACTTCTAGAAGGAAGTCCGCTTTAGAAACAGTGTCTGGTGCAGTAAAAGTATCATCACAAGGGTACATAAATAAATAGCCCTTTGTCACTGCTCGCTAGCCAAACAATTCTTTAGTCTTTAGTAGATATTAATTTATATTAACTAAAGAAAAATAATGAAAATGGGGAAAAAAGTTCTCTTATCTGTAAAAGATGATCCTCTAGATCTGGATCACAAGTTACAAACAGCCACTGGTAGACTCTGTAATCTCTCAGCAGGCTGGAATTTAAAGGCAAAGTAAACCTGTTAGACCTCTCAGCTGCTACCATTAAGGTGCCTCAGGGTAAGGTGTTTAAGTGTATGGATGTGTAAACGTGTTCACAAATTTCCCGGGGTGAAAACAAGGATCACTTTGAATTAAAGAACCTTCCTGCTTTTCTCTGCAGCTCTCAGGAAGGCAGACAGATGATGTACCTCCCTCTGCTGATGGTTAATGAGCTCAACTTCAGAGTCAGAGACCTCATGGTATAGGAAGCTTTTTCTAGTAAACTTTAACAGACACTTGCTTATTTTGATTATTACTATTTTTTTTTTGGCTGATTTAAAATGAGCACATATCCGTTTATCCATTCACCGACAGGAGATCAGCAGCGGCACCGTTCAGCTCCCTCTCACTGTGTCCTATGAGGGAATCTCTCTGAGAGGATTCAGGTTTTGGGTCCACCTACAGGACATGGTTTATTCCCTGCAGCAATTCGGTGAACTATTTATATAACAGACATATGATTTAAGGCATTATAATGATTCATTAATCTTAATTATATCATATTAATTATATGTGGTAGCTTTTATTTGTACTCAAATACAACCCAAATAATACCTCAGCTCATCAAAATGAGCTCATCCGTTGCTTCTTTGTGTCTCCAGGCTTCACAGACGAAAACATCGATGAAATTAAAGAAGCTCTGGTGGGATCCAACCTTTACCTGTTAGTGCTGACTGCTTTCATCACAGCTTTGCAAGTAAGAGAGCATATTAACACGGACTTTGTGGAAGGAAATGTAATTTCTTTTCTAAATGCTTTATTTCCTTTTTTTCAACAGCTGATCTGTGAGTTTCTGGCTCTTAAAAATGACATCAGCTCATGGAGGAAAAAGAAGAGCATGG